GGGCTGCAAAGAATTTACTCCACCAGCAGTAATTTAAGAACAGCACAAACCGAATATGCACTAAGTTCTAGTTGTTCACATTACAGAAATTTCTAATGCACATGCATTAACGCGATACGTTATTTCACGATACTCTATTCGATGTATAGCTTTGTAATCTTAGTGGATGGGCATATTCTATACGCAATTGCTTCAATCCTCTAGTCAGTTTAGTTCTTCCGCAGTATTATTGTACAGTTACCTTATTTTTGTATAAACGTCAGGAACCGTTTGACTAAAAGTACTAACCTGAAAAGAATTTGCTGGAGCCTCAGCATTCTGATACGGAACATGCTGATGTTTCTTTAGACGGTCGGCATGATATTTTTGTTGTGTCGACTGTCGAGTTGGAACCATTGACAATATAATGAAATAAACTGTATAAACTCACAGAACAATAAATGCGGTCGAAGATACATCGCCCTCATAATTGCTCATGAGCAGACGCTCGTCATCTCAATGAGATATTTCAGTTCCAAACTGCTCATATAATAAATATTGATAAGATTAAAAAGATGTCGTTACAATTTTTGTGCCATGAGCCGATGAGCACATGCTCATAACTGCTCATCAGCAGATGCTCATCTGCCCATAAAATTGCATTGCTGCTCGATTACAAGGCGTTTCCACACTTCTAGTGCTAAGGCCTAAGGGAGGGTAGGGTCGCAGTTCCTCGCAAGAATGATTTTCATTGGCTGAACTTTACAATAAATTTCTGTTTCAACCAGTAGCGTAGCTTTCTTCTTTAGAAAGCATAGAAAAGCATTATCCAATTAGACGAAAGCCTCCGAGCACAGCGACACGTCCCCTAAGGGAATGAGCTGCCAATTTTGCGGAAGGTACTTTAACCGCAGTTACAATCAGCGCAGACACGAACGGGAGAATTGTTCACTACGAGAACAAGAAAGAAACATGTCTCAAACAGACTCGGACAGTCAAGAGAGGGACTTCCAAGATGATGTTTCGACCACTTCCACTCAGCAATCTGGAAGTTCGACGACACCTGACTCGTGAATGAGAATGTGAAGAAGAAATGGATCCCTGGATACCGTTAATAGAAGAAGCAAAACAAAGAAGTAACACAGCTTTCGAGGAAATGAAAGAAAGCTTTTAAACAGTGGTTTCGATGGGCACTCTGCTAAAGAGAAAGCTTACTTCAATGTTATGCCTAGACTCCAAAAAGAATTAGAAAATATCCATTTAGAGCGCCTTTTGTGGATGAGACAACTAAAGAAAGATCCGTACATAAGAAAATAATGCGCATAAAAGATGCGTTTATTACAAATGATGATTTTGACCAAGAAGAAGCAATAGAAGCTGCCGTTGATAACAGAAAGTTTCTTATCAAGAGGCTTTTAAACGACCACAAGATTGAAGATGTGAAGGAAAATAAAGGCAGTGATGATGATGACGACGACGATGATGATATGTTCTAAGTATCTTGAACCCGCTAACTCGTTGGAAAGAAAACTCATACCAAAATGACCCACTCGAGTCAGGTTTTATTGTCTTGTTTACCACGCCGTCCACCCTTAAGTACACGGTTAAAACGACAAGAGAACAGTTTACAAGTCACGAGAACAGTCATCACAAAGAATACAAAGAATATTTGAAAAATCAACTTTTAAGATGAACAATGGTATTCAAAAAAATATTCTCGATGTTGTAACATGTGTAATTTGAGTAATAAAATATTTTTCTCGCAAATCCTTAGTTTGTAATTATGTATAGCGTGAGCGTACAGCCTTTCCACGCAAGTCATTCCACGTGTAAGCTATGTTTCAATAACACACTTGTGCACACATCTCGCGTGGAGGCCGCGCATACGTTCGGTAAAAACCGACAGTTCCCGACGTCCCGCGTGGGATCCACGCATCACGTGATTTGCCGCTATATGGGGGGGGGGTTGCCTACTCCCCTCAAACAAAGATAATTCCAAAATGTATTGTCATTAATACCCGTTCGTTGGTCAAACCTGACGCTTTACCAGCACTGACTGCTGAACTTCTTCATAACAATATAGATGTTTGCTTCGGTTACAGAAACATGACTTCATAAATACATCCCTTCCTCGCTAATTTGTCCAAGAGGTTACACCATAGTTCGCAAGGATCGCGATTTTCGGCCTGGTGGTGGGGTCGCCATCTTATGTAGAAACGATTGGAAAATTATGAACGTCGACCTTGACAACATTTTGAATATATCTAGTGTGAAATTCAGACCATGAATAGTTCGTATTCCTTTGCTGTAGTGTATCGTCCACCTGATCCAACTTACAATGAATCCGACTTGCTTGATTTTCTATCTGATTACTGCGAGAAAAGTTTGTTATTGCAACCTAATGCAAAAAAGCTATCGCTGGTGATGTAAATCAATTACGCATACATATACATGACTTCTGCATTCAGCACAACCTAGATCAAATTGTGAAGAAACCTACTGGAGGTACCCAGATATTGGACATATTTTTGACTAATAATCCACATTATATGGAAAATTCCTATCGTCTGTCGATGTTTGGTACGGTCCGATCATTCTGCGGTTGTCGTGACCCCGCAGCAACCTGCTAAGCCTGAGAGAAATTTTGTCTATTTTCGTGATGTGAGGTACCATCGTAAATTGGTAGTACATGAATAAATTGGTAGTACATGACCGGAGCCGGATTTATGATGCAAACATTGATGATGTTTATGAAGGCGTCGAGCTGCTAATTGAAACTCTTTGTAATATGTTCAATGAGTGCTTTCCCTTGCTCAAAAAGTCAACTCGTGATCCACCGTTTATGTCCCCTCTAGTAAAGCATTTGTGTAATATACGGAACAGAGAACTTAAGAGAGGCGTTAATACTGACCTTCAACAGAAGATAAATAAGCTCATCCGAGAAAATCAGGTGAAAGCCATCCAAAATGATAAACTAATTACAGGCAAGGCTCTCGAAGACGGTGGAAAACCGGCAACCAAATTACTGGAAGAGGATCGAGGTCGGAAAATATTAGTAATATCATCGATCCAGAAGAAATGAATTCTTATTTTCAAGATATAAACACTGATAATGAATACGTGAGACCTGATCCCATTGAGAATTCCTGAGGAGTTCGAGTTCCAATTGTCGACATTAAAACTGTTGAAAATTTCATGAGGAGACCAAAACAAATATCACCTTGTACGGATGGAATTCCATACTGGTTTTGGAGGGATTTTGCTTTCTATCTCGCACCAGTTATTACTAATGTATTGAATTCTTCTTTGAAACAGCAACGTGTACCTAGCTTGTGGAAATTGGCTATTTTACGCTCCATTGCCAAAGGAATCTCCGTTAATTGTATGCAATCAATTAAGACCGATATCGCTAACTACTATTATTATGCGACTTTTTTAAAAGGTTTATATTTGAAGAAGAGATTCGTCATCCTTCAAAGCTAATTATTGATGGGCACCAGTACGCTTATAAGGAAAATTCGAACACCACTGTAGCTCTCATAAGCATCATTGGCTAAAATGGTTAGACGATAAGGGCAAGGCTAATTTCGTTCGTGTAATATCCTTCGACTTCAGCAAAGCGTTTGATAGCATTCCCCATGATATTTTAACACAGAAACTTAAATCGACAAACCTTAACCCATATATCATCAATTGGCTTATCAATTTCGTATCGTGTAGGAGACAGAGAGTTGCCGTAGATGGAATTGTTGCCAACTTCGTTAGCATCAGTAGAGGAGTAGGGACAGTTCTTGACCCCTTCCTGTTTTGTTAATGGTTAGCGATATTAAAGTTTAACACAACAGACTGATATATATATATATATATATATATATATATATAATAATATATATATATATATAATAATGATGTTTAAATTATGTAAATAATCTAGTTTTGTAATTTATATGCAATGCAAAGTTGCACGTTTGTTCCAACTCCATCATTGCAACATTTTTAATAAAGACGTATACATACATACATGGATTTTAGTAGGATATGACACCGAGTGGCAGCCAATGGCAAGCAGAAAATTCTACTTGACCACGGCAGGATTTGAACCCACGGCCTTCGGTATACTAGTCCGATGCTCTGCTAACTGAGCTACATGGCCAACACGGGTTTTTGATATTTCGAAACAATACTAATTTCTTCGATATCAAGAGCTTATCAGCTCAATAGGTGGATTAATTATTTTGTAGATGGTACTCGGGAAAAAATCCTTCCCTTCCCGAGTACTATCTACAAAATAATTATATACACACATACATTACTGCGTCTCGGATAATAAGCGAGACTTCGATCATCTAGTACTTGAATCAGTTCGGCAAATGCGTCTTTGGTTGTGTCTGCTCGTACTTGATCTTCAGACACATCCTCAGCCAATGGTCCTTGTATGGTATCGCTCAATGGTATCGCCCACCTCCCATATAAATTAGAGAGCTTTAGATTTGACCACGGCTCCCGCTACGGCTACGTGATACTTCGTATTGACGCCAGAGACTCGTAGCCGTCGCTCATCTGCATGACTGCGGTATTTTAAGAAAACTTCGTTGTCCTAACTACGTGATTTAAAAAGCAATAAAAGTTGACATTTTCTCGTTTTTTTCTAGAAAATAATTTGAGAGAACTGTTTTTCATGACCGTGGTCCTTTGATAATGTGTATTTTTCGAAATAGTAGGCGTGAAATTTCCGAAATATTTGACAGGATACAGCATACAACCGCATACAGCCGTTTGTTTCGTGCCACAGTCTCGTAGCCGTAGCGGGAGCCGTAGTCAAATCTAAAGCTCTCTATTATTGGGGGGAGGCGCGCTGCACCCGCTTCCTAGCAACTTTGCCTTGATACAATGAAAAGTATAGAAAAAGGAGGACCTTTGGCAAAATATGTTCCATTGACCAGGGCTTGTACAAATGATTATGAACTTAGAAACTCGAACACATTAACAACAATAAAATGTCGAACAGAAAGATACCGCCGTAGTTTCTTTCCTAGTACAGTTGTTTTATTGAATAACAGTAAATAATTTCAGGTGTAATATTTTAATATGAGTATCGTTGTAGTAGTGCAATAAGTTTTTAAACTTAGATTTGACTTTTTTATGTGTAAATATACTGTAAATAATAGCTACTTCCATAATTTTTGTAAACGCACCGTAATTCAATTAATTGTCAAGGTGTGTATTTTAAACCATTAATAATAATAATATATATGATTATTCGGAAATTATGAAATATTGTTAAATTAACCATAATCACTGAATTAACTTACAGCCTTAATAATTGCGTTCATAACTCCGCCAACAACACGCTTCCAGGTACCTGTCTTCTGGTTTTCGTTTTCTTTTTGTAGGAACCTTCGTGTTTCGTCGTTTTCGCGGTAATCTTTCCATGGATCAAAGCCAGGATTGGCCATGTTATTAATCTGCTCAGCTCGTTTACGAGTATCTTTAAGAGCCTTTATACGATCCTTGAAGCCAGGTTTGCCTTGCAATTCTTCTGATTGGATAAGAAGATCAAGGTAATCGAGTTGTTGGAGGGGATTTTTCTTCAGGGCGATTTTCGTCAGCCGTTGTAAACCACGTTGCATTTCTGTCACAAACGTAAGAACAATGTTTTGAGTGTCCTTGAATTCCGCTTCAAGACTTTCGATTTCTGCTTCGACTTTGGTTTTCCCTTCCACTGCTTCGTGGTACTTCGTCTTCTGGCCGTCGTACTCCTTTTCAACTTCTACCAATTCAGTTTCCATTCGATAGTTGTCATTTACGTGAATCGACCAGTGACATTGTTTGGGGCATTTCCCGCATTGTCCATTGATCATGGCTGCGCAGCCTTCTTTATCTTCACTCTTTGGGATACCACAAGGGTAATGGCAGGTATTATTGCAAGTGGGACAGTTTGTTACGTACATACCAGAGTCCAGTTTAACTTTCACTCTTGTTTCTTCAGTTACAGTGTACTTAAAGTTTTTGTTGTCATTAATCTCGGTGGCATGTTGTTTGAATATTCTCTCTTCCTGCTGAAGGCGGCTAAGTGTGTTTAGTCCGCAATTTATTTTATCCTGCAAGCCACTCACTCGAAGTTCAAGTTCCACTCTTTCCTGCAAGACTTCCTTTGTCAGAACAAGACTTCTGCTTTCCATTCCATTAAGACAATTAAAGAAGTTTTCAAAACTTTTCATTCCCATTGTCCAAAACATTGAGCCAAAATTATTACTTTCGGAGTTGTCAGCGAAAAGTGCGCTGTTATTCAACGTGAAGTACATATCCTCCTTACTAAGAACTCCGGCCTTTTGAAGAGAGGCTAATGCTTGGGGTTTATCGCCATCGGCAAAGGTGAATAGAACTGTTATGTTCTTCTCAATATCCTTGCCAAACATGGCCAGAATGCTGTCAAATACGTAACGTTGGGTGGGTGTGAGCCTTGGTATCCCAGCTTGAGCTATAAAACAGATGGCGTCAATATGATCAATCCCTCCATCTCCACTGGTTTCGAAAAACTTGCGAATTTGATCCGTTATCACTTTATCTTGTTGTATTCCTTTCGTGTCTCCAAACCCAGGGGTGTCCACAATAGTAAGATTGTACGGTACCTGCATAGGAAAAGTCGATTTTTACAAAATATCTTATAGCGGTTTATACTCAATATAATTATGTACGGAGGTTTTACAGCAATATATAACTGCGATGTATAGTCCTGTGAACTGTGCTGCTTACAAGTTTTGCAATGTCGTAGTGCAGTTTTGCCGACTGCATATACGCCAACAGTAATGACATTAATACCACTCGAATAAGATTATATAGCTGTTATAAGTTAATACTACACGTCAATTTTAGCCTATCAACCTTTCCAAAATTTTTCTCTGTTTCAAAAAAAATGGCGAGTACAATTCGGGTGAGTACATAATTATTCTGTACTACAATACTACGGTTATACGGTTATACGGTAATAGTATACTCGTGATGTTTGCAAATTTTGCTAAAAGCCAAGGAGCCGCCGAATACCATCGATGTAAATTAGTGGAGAATTTTTGAAACCTATATATGTATACGTCCGTGAAGTACAAGTCTCGCTGTTGGCAAATTTGCATTTCTCAAGAGTTAAATCTGATTGTAAGTTAGAAGAAAAATCGCATCGTGTAACACGGCCTTAAGTAAGATAGACAAACTGACAAAGTTCAGAATAATCATCTTACCTTGAAACCTTTCGAATGCAGCAAGTTGTAACAGGTGACAAAATGCGTCTGGCTGCGTGTCTGGTCCCCGATACTCTCTGATCCTTGGTTGGAAGAATCTTCATGAATCATTTTCAGTCGAAAAGAATCTTTCCACTCGACCCCGAGAATATAATTAACCATAGCATTTACTGTGGTAGTTTTTCCTGATCCAGTTGATCCAACCATCATTATAACTTTATTTAGTTTACTTGCTCTCAGAGCATCGTTTCCTCCGTCGTTGAGGTTTATCTCGTATTTACGTAATTGAAGACCACTATCTTCGAATACTGAAGTTAAAGGAAGAGTGTAGACAGTAGGTTCGCCGTCCTGAAGTGGCTGGACAATCTGGCACAAACCAAGGATTTTGTAAGGTTGAAACGTTGGCTTTCGGGCGAAGGTCGAAAATACGTCGCTTGAAGGACTGTTGTTGCTTTCTCCAGCATCACCACAGTCTGCTGTGACTCTGAAGACAAATGACATTGACGGATGAAGATTTTTTACAGTATATCTTGCATCGTGGGTCTGTTCCATCTTGCGAGTTTTCCAGTCATCTTGGCTCCACTCGACTTTATAGTTGACGATCTGAACATCCTTTCCGAGACGTTGTGGTTCTTTGAAAACAATTGTTAGTGATTCAGATGTAGCTTCTTTTAGCTCTGGTTTACCAGGAGGACTGGCCGGCTTCGTACTGGCAGAAAATATCTCACTGTACTCACTAACAATGATTTTTCGTACTGCGCAGATTCGGATGAAGTATTTCGTTGCTAGTTTAAGCTCTGTAAGAGTGACTGAATTCCGAACTTCGCCGCTGGATTTAACATCAACACTTAACCACGTGTCTCCGCCAGCTTCGTCCTTGTATTGAACCTTGTAACTCGTAACAGTATTCCCAGATTGACCATCCCAGGAAATTTGCAACGCACTTTCCTCTGCTTCTTCTAATTTCAGGTTGTTAGGCGGTGGCTGTGAGGTCAGATTCTCGTCCTCAACTTTTCCTGCTGCGTAGAAACAAAGAAAAGCCCCCATTTTACCATCGTAGTCAGGGGACAGCGGCTCATCTGTTGCGAGAAATTCAATCGAGCTTATTTCTTCATTCACCGATTTTAAAATCATGAAATTCCTCAATGCTTCACGCACCGTTCCGGAAGTCGGATTTTCTTCAAATTTTCTTTCAACACTTTCATTTGATACAGCGCCGTCGTTGAGATAACCCTTCATTTTCAAAATTCGTTCGTCTTCTTCGCAAGCAATTCGGAACGTACAACAAACTATAAACTCGATTGCCGGATTTGACAGATGATTTTTTACCTTTTCTGGATTGACGATAGGAGTTTCTCCCAGCGATTGGATCATTCCCTGCAATCTCTCGATTTCTTGTTTCTTACCGTTAAGCCAACCTTCAATACACGTGAAAGAAAACGGCGATGCTTCGTTTTCTTCAATGATTTGAGCCAGCTCAATTTCTTCTACTCCACCACCTCGAATTTGGGGAAGAACTACTAGTATTTTCTTTTCGAGAGAAACCTTGTAATGCTCGATAGTTTTATAAAAACTACTAAGTTGTTTTCTTAATCTTGGGAAACGGGAACAAATTTCTTCTTTAACCATGTCATTACATTCTGACATCACAGACTGGAGATGTTCTTGAACTTCAGCAATCCTGCCAACTATATTTAAACTAATTTCCCTCACCATCTTTTGGCATCTGCTGTCGATTGAACTCAATGGACACAAATATACTTTAATTGGAACTGCTTTTTCTCCGTTCTCGCCAATCAGGGAAGGTAACTGTTTGTAAATTTTCACCGCATCTTCGTAATTTGTTGGACTTTCGCTGGTACGGAAATCTCCATACATCTTGCATCGCATGTTTTCGGTGTTCTTCTTTTGTGTTTCATTGATATTAACAGATCCATGCCCATCAACCGTAATGCCTGGCAATGATTTAACCAAAACATCCATGTTTCCATGTACTTCTTTTACCGTTTCGTCCTTAGAGACTTCCTTGTCAAATACCATAAATGCCTTTGCTCCGTACAGTATACCAACCACAACATCGGTTGCCTCATCAGTATCAAACACCTCACGATATTGAATTTTCCCCGTTCCTAAATGTTCCATGGTGAGTTGTTTGAGTTCTGTAGTGGTTTCATATTTCAGGACAACCCGACATTGATTCTTTGATGTTTTGGTATCATTTAGATACTTTGCAGCGCCTTCTACATTCACTAGCCCAGACAGAAAACTTAACTTCAGACTTGCTTCTATGTCAAGAGCACTTGTCTTATCTTCCACCGTGTTTTCTGTGAAAACTTCAGAATTAGTGAATGGTTGGGGTCGAGTGTCGAGAGCGGCTTTCAAATGATCCGGAGACCACAATGTTTTAGCAAGAATCAACTTTTCAGAGCGACGATCGTAAAGCATCCCTAAGGCAAATGGTCGTCCCACAGCTGAAATGGTTTTTGCCATTTTTTCTGCAAAGAACAGTAAAATTGTAATGCTTCGTAATTACGTAAGGGTGAATAAATTGCTACGAGTGCGATACGGGGTTTAAAATTGGCATGCAGTGGAGGTTACTAGGACAACTTAAAGGCCGGCGCACACGAGAGCTATGCGCGTAGCAAAATGTCATTCGTACGCGTGCATGTCATTGGTAAGCTAGTTGCTCTCGCGTGCGCGCAACCTTCCCGGCGACTTTTGTCATTCGTTGTAGGAAAGACAAATATCTAGTTTGATCATTTTTGCTACGCGCGTGGCGATTTTACCGTGTGCGCGGTCTTAAAGCAATTTAAACTACTCTCGTATTTTACTCTTTGCAAACTTTGCTCCATTTTAATTTTCCAATAACCAAAAATGCATTTGTTCAGTGTTTTCCATTTTAGAGCTTTCAAATATGTTTCCCTGATTCAAATAATAATTTAAAATCAAGTTTATTTATTCAAAAACAAGCTTTCGGATAAAAAAATTGCGGACGGGTGCCAAGTCTTCCCGTCTAATTTGTTTACCGCAGAGCCCGACGGGACGCTGCGTGATCGTGCAGGTGTAAGCCACAAGGCAATTTTTTATATGGAAATACGTTTATTAGTACTAGGGAAATTTACAATAATCGATCAAGCATTAAAAATAAGTATAAAGGTTCTGCAGACTATTTACAAAAACTACTTAACTAGACTACTCCCTAATGTGAGACAAAGTAATGTCATTAGTTGATGTGATGGACGCGGTCCTCCAACTTCGACTGCCACGAACACACACCACACGAGCTCTAAGCAAAGCAAAAGCGATGTTTCGTCGTAACCAGCTAATCACCATTGATGGAGAATGATTCTATTTGTCAGCTAGCTGCGCACCCAGAAAGGAGAAAAAATGTTGGGTCTATCTTCCGCATCCGCCTAAGGCGCTGAAGACGACCGGAGTGAAAGAGCCATGCTTGATTTTAACAATCCGTTGGTTGTAATGTCGTTTCTTTTCTTCCCGTTCCTTGGCTTTAAACAAGCTGCTCAAAGTCTGGCGTCGATGTATTGAGGCGTATGGTTTAAACACCCTTACATTAAAAAATGCTTTTTCACATCTCTGCCAAAAACTTCTCGCAGCAAGGTCCACTCTGGCGTCATCGGCTGAATTAGCACTGGATGGAAGAACCTCGCCAGTCAAAGGAGCAAGGGCAGGTTCAATTGAAACATCGTAAGCAACGTCATTGATAGCGGGAGCAAGTGGATCACGGATCTCATCATGTCTTCGATGGATGAAGCCTCTTTTCAGGCATGACAAGGCATGATCCACCGTGAACGATTTTCCACAGGCGCAGAAAGATGGAAGGCGTTTCAAAGACCATCGATAACGCATGTAGATTGCATCAAAGAACTCGTGCAGTCGCGCTTGGTCAGGATGTAGCCCTCATCAGCAAGTGGCAGAGCTGTTAGCCAAGCTGAGGATCCTTTCAACTGGGCGAGGTCATTTGCTTGAATCTGCTGCTCACTCATGCTGGATCTCAAGTTTTGTAGCAGCAACGAATTCCTACCTTGACGTTGTTTTGCGATCTCACGGCGAAGATCGTGGATGGAATCTCCATGTTCGGCTGATAGTGTACCATTCTGGTGGATGATTCTACTTGAGAGAACATGACAGATGGTTGTGGAGTCAAATGCTCTTCATCACAGATGTCTTTGAAGATCGGAATGATTTATAAAGGTCTTGAATATTAATAATTTTCGGGAAATAGCGCAGCATCGATCTTGACGCATTCTGTCGTTATTTCCCACGCAAGTATAATCAGAGAAAACTGTAACTTGCTTGCTCGGCAATCATATAAGAAGAACCGTGGAGTTAGTCTGTTAGGTAGTCTGAGCAAAACGATACACTCCAAGTTAAATATGGCGAGCTCGCAGGATTATGCAAAAAAACCTCGCGGAGGACAATACTGTGTTGCGGGATGGCCCAACGGGAAAAGCTGGGTGTTGGCGTGTTTGGCGTCTCGATTCGTCCTTTAATGATTATAACATTGTGTCTATCCGAACTTGAGCGTTCATGGATTAAATTAACGTTAACAGAACAAACCACACAAATTCAAATGTCAAACCATTTCTCGGCCTGCTTTGCCGGGCCAACTCGGAAGATGGACTACTTATACATGATCTCACGGGTAAATTCATGTTTATCATCGTAGCAGCTGAAACGCAAGTTTCATTGGAAGTTTTAAACACGCCTCCGCTGTTAGGGTCACCAATATTTGGGACAGGGAAACTCTGTTTACGAAAGAGGGTAACTCTAGTGGTAGGAACAACTTTTATCCATGTAAACACTAACTTTGTCTCCAGGGTTAACTTTTCCTCGGTCTCCAGGGTTAACTTTTCCGGCCGAGCGTGCGTTATAACTAACCGAGATCAAACTTTGTACCGGAGCGTGTGTTATAACGAACCGAGATCAAACTTTGTACCGGAGCGTGCGTTATAACAAACCGAGATCCAACTTTGTACCGGAGCGTGCGTTATAACGAACCGAGATCAAACTTTGTACCGGAGCGTGCGTTATAACGAACCGAGATCCAACTTTGTACCGGAGCGTGCGTTATAACGAACCGAGATCAAACTTTGTACCGGAGCGTGCGTTATAACGAACCGAGATCAAATGAACAGCGCCTTAAAAATCTGTTTTTATTAAATGAATGCTTAATAATGATAAGTTTGAAAACAAAAGTTTGAAAATAAAAGTTTGAAAATAAAAGTTTGAAAATAAAATAAGATGTAAACTATGGTGACAATATGGCGTCTGAGCTTATGGATCAAGGTAATTTCGTTTCTGCTTTAACTGTGTTCATAGATAAGCAATTTATTGGATTTCAAGATATTGGATTTCCGAACCTAGATATTCTAGACACAATTAAGAGACGGTTGGTTAAATTGAAACCAAATGATGTTATTATAAAACGTTGTTATGAACGTCATGGCAAGTCATTCAGGTATTGTGTTATTTAGTTAAAAAATAAAGCCGTCATATAGAATATATATATTCACTAAGTGTTTTAAGGCTGTCGCGTCTGGGCTACCGTATTTTCGCTCAAGCTGATTCTCGTTTATCGCGGTTCTAAAATCAACAGATCTAACGTCGCACAAACATGGGTAGTCCGATCGGTGAACGTGTGCTTCTGAATGTCGAAAAAATTTAGGTTCTCAAGGAAGCTTTATATTGAAGACTGGCACGTGCGCGGCACGCCGGAGTTGACGCCAGAACAGGCGCCTTGTTTCATTTAATTTAGATCGAATATTACCATTATCATTAATAATAAAAAATAGATACAATACTTTAGCTTTCATTGTTATGTTTACGTGATACACAATAATAAACAAATAAATATTGAAACTGACGGGAACGAGCAAGAGAAGCCCTTGGGGAAGCTAGAGAGGCCTGTGGAGGAGGCTAGGGCGCGATATGCGGAAGCATTTCCATCCAAAAGGATTGCGCCGATCGTTGCCCGTTGGAGCCACCGGTTGGAGCTCTTAAAAGGATACGCTTGTTACGCTAGTTCATAGATACAAGCTAACAAGCACTGCCCTCAAAATTCATTGGAGCTTTAATTCAACCGTATTTTGATTATTGTAGCTCAGTCAGGGTTGGTTTGAATATCACGTTACATTTAAAAGATAGATTGCAAAAACTACAAACTGATAGAGCAGCGAGGATAATTACCAAATCTCGATATGATGCAAGTTCCAGCGACATGCATTTTCAGTAAAATAGTTTTGGATATTCTTTCGACACGCCGGAAAAAGCAAAAGGCTGTAATCATGTTCAATCTTGGAAATCAGAATATGCATGAATCTCATGCAGTATTTTAAATCTTGTAGTCTAATGCACTTGTCCCGTGTATATTTGACATCCAAATAATTGAGTAATTTGTAATCATTGCATGTGATTTGTCACTTAAATGTTTGATGAATATTTAGAGTAATACTATAGTCTAGATTTACCGTGGTTAAATAAAGTTTTTGATTGTTTGATTGACTGTACCTTCAGCACGTTCTGGCGCCAATTTTGACTTTTTTTTGAAGAACTGAAATAGTGAAAATTTTTAATGATCACTGACAATCGAGCTAATTCGAGAGACAGAGAGATTTTATACGGTATATACATACATGCAGCAGTACAAATATAGAAGAGGTTTTCGGATGGTCAAATAACATTTTACTGAAATGCATGATTATCCTAAGTATTACAATTTCACGACGTTTGTTAAATATCACATTCCTAAACAATACCTTTCGCATCATTTCTTGCTTCTTTCAAATAAAACTTTTTTATATTCTAAATAAAAAAACGTTTCAACGGTAACTAATAAGCACACCTAAACGCGAGGGTTAACTAAGCTACGAGAGTTAACTAAACTTGTATACGAGACATAACTTAGGGGATGTCCAGAAAAGTAATTGCTTGTCGATTTACAGCATCAATGGGATGTTTTTAGCACGTTTTGTCGTTATTGATGGATTCATTACTCCGGCGTGAGCGACGGAGTTGAAAATTCGCTTCGGTTTTGCTTTGTTTTTTATAATTTTTGTCGTCGCAAGTGTGTTTTGGCGCGAAATATACTAGTATTTGAAAAGTGTATGTGACCGTATTTAACTACGTCACAGTTATATATTTATATATATATATATATATATATATATATTTATATACATATATATATAATATATATATATATATATATATTATATATATATTATATATATATATATATATATATATATATATATATATACACCCATTTGCAAAAACGTTGGCCACAGATAGATAGATAGATACTCGAGGTCTTATTATAATTGCATATGATTACATTTGCATGGGATTTCAATCATATTACACCACATATGCAATTCTAATTAGATTTCGAGTATCTATCTATATATCTATCTGCGGCCAACGTTTTTGCAAACGGGTGTATATATATATATATATATATATATATATATATATATATATATATATATATATATATATATATATATATATATATATATATTTTAATATGTATATATATATAATATATATACATATATATTCTTTTTTTTTTTTTCATCTAATCCAAGTTTTTAAGAAGGCCATGCATATACCTTTCCAAAGGCAAAGATACTTTCAAAAACTTTAGTGTCTGATTGCCAGAGGTGATCGACTGGAAGGATCAGTTTAATTTCAGCGCGTTAATCGAAAGAATACTGGCTATATAGCTCTAATAGCTGTGCATGAAATGGATAACTCGGTTCTATAAACTTCAGCGGCCATGCAGTACGAATGCAAACGTGCGTTTTGCCAGTGCATGGCGGTGCTCGGCTGAGAAGCATACAGTCGATCATTATACTTCGAGGATTATGAAACCTCAAAGACACAAAACTGGTTTCAAAGATGTTAAGTACCAGAATTTGAGAATTAAGATAACTTTGACTTACCTTTCTATAAATGTACTTTCAATTTCAGTGGCGACCACGGCGTTGTCGTTGATCACTTTAATTAAATTTCAGCACAAGACGAACAGCCGAAGAGCTAAGGCGTCGACTGCGTTAACTATGATGCTGGGTGCCCTTGTTTAATATACGGCGGATGTGCAGTTCGTGTCCTTTTATGGCTGTTACCTAAATTAGATCCAAGAAATGGAAAACCCAGGAATTGCGGAATCTGGGAATTGAAGTAATTCCTTGGAATTTATTTCCGAAAAAAGTTGCCTCTTTGAAAAAATTCAGAAACAAATTGTGCTCATGCATACTCGGACAAATCGCACTGTTAGTGATTTTCAATCCCCATGCACTTCGAATTGTCACATACAAAAGCGCTAGTTGTGTTTAACGAGTTTCTAGCTAAAACGAAAGTTGTTTGAATATATAAAATATATCACAACAATTTATGATAACTGTCGAGAAAAGACAGTTTGGATAAGAGGTCCTCTTAGCGCACGAGTGGCCAGTGCATGCGAGGCTTAATTTAGTTTCGCAAGTGTGATGTTGTTGTTCGAGTGAAATGACAAAAGGCGAAAAACCGTTTCTCATTGGCTGTGATTTGCAAGCGCTTTCGAATCAAAAGTTCATTAATACAATAAATTATATCCGTAATTATAAAGGATGACATTCAGTATAGAAGATATATAGTTCGTATTTTAAGAGCGAATAACGAAAAGAATTTCGCTGATCCCAAACCGCAGTACAACGCTGCATAAATTTACATTTTAGCCAACAAGACCCTTGCGTGTCCCTTGAAAAATTAGTCCAAAGGTTTGAGAGCTTCTGCACGCGTTCTGGCATTTATATGCGTATATATGCATGAAACAATATGTTTTATTTAATCCAAGTTTTTAATAAGGCCATCCATATACCTTTCCGAAGTACTTTCAAAAACTTCAGTGTCTGACTACCAGAGGTGATCGAGGAAGGATAAGTTTAATTTCAGCGCGTTAATCGAAAGAATTCTGGCTCTAATAGCTGTACATGAAATGGATAACTCAGTTCTATAAACTTTAGCGGCCAGTACGAATCCAAACGCATGCGTTTTGCCAGTGCATGGCGGTGCTCGGCTGAGAAGCATATAATTATATAGTCGATCAATATACTTCGAGGATTATGAAACCTCAAAGACACAAAGCTGGTTTCAAAGATATAAAGTCCCAGGGTTTGAGAATTAAGATAACTTTGACTTACCTTTCTAAATGTACTTTCAATTTCAGTGGCGACCACGCGTTGATCACTTTAATTAATTTCAGCGCAAGACGAACGTATGAACAGCCGAAGAGCTAATGCGTCGACTGCGTTAACTATGATGCTGGGTGCCCTTTTTTAATATACGCCGGATGTGCAGTTCATGTCCTTTTATGGTTGTTACCTATATGAAATCCAAGAAATGGAAAACCCAGGAATTGCGGAAACTGGGAATTGAAGTAATATAATTCCTCGGAATTTATTTTCCAAAAAGTTACCACTTCAAGTATATGCATCCTAAGTCATAATCACCAGCAGAAAAGTTTTCGATTAATATTAGTCTGAATATTTGTGTGAACAGTGTTTTCCTAGCTAACATCACAGTGCAATTGAAGCACAATCTTACTGATGACAGTCACAGAACTATCCAGTGAATTTTCTGGACTCAGTGTTTCGGTAATATAACTCCAAAATACATTTTTCGATTTTGCGCCATATATTCAAGAGTATGACTTTTATGGGGGAGCTTTTTACATGAAAAGAAACTGAGTAATTCTACATTTTAGTGCGAGCAACCTAATTACAGAGCGAATGTGAAAATGAATATGAAATATGAAATGAATATGTCCTTTTTTGGTTGTTACCTAAATGACATCCAAGAAATGGAAAACCCAGGAATTGCGGAATCTGGGAATTGAAGTAATTCCTTGGAATTTATTTTCCAAATGGTTACCATCTAAGGCTAAGTCATAATCACCTGCAGCAAAGCTTTCGATTAATATTTGTGTGAATCATGCTCTCTGCTTAACGTTGCGTAAATGAAATGTCTTTCGATAGAAATTTGTTCAATGATGATATTAAAATGTGGCATAAGGAACAGTGTCAAGCGCGGGTCAGTTTCAGTCGCTGCATGATAATCTCGGGACTCGGTCGAACGTAAACAATAGTCACATTTCAATTCGCCTTCTTTAGGCAACTTAGCATGTTGTCAAATACTGTAAAAGAAAGGTTCACTGCTCAGTGCTACCGTAACTGCACCTCTTGTTTGGGTTTTTTTACATCCCGAAATGGAAAAATTCAAGATAACTTTCAGAAAGTTTATCATGCCCTTCTGGAGAAGCGTAGTAAATTTTTTATGAACTATAACACTCCAGTTCAGTCCATGCAGACATACTTGAAAAATATACGCCGGATGTGCAGCTCATGTCCTTTTATGGCTGTTACCTAAATGAGATCCAAAAAATGGAAAACCCAGGAATTGCGGAAACTGGGAATTGAAGTAATATAATTCCTTGGAATTTATTTTCCAAAAAGTTACCACTTCAAGTATATGCATCCTAAATCATAATCACCAGCAGAAAAGTTTTCGATTAATATTTGTCTGAATATTTGTGTGAACAGTGTCTTCCTAGCTAACATCACAGTGCAATTGAAGCACAGTATTACTGATGACAGTCACAAAACTATCCAGTGAATTTTCTGGACTCAGTGTTTTGGTGAAATAACTCCAAAATACATTTTTCGATTTTGCGCCATATATTCAAGAAGAATTTCTTTTATGGAGGAGCTTTTTACATGAAAAGAAACTGACTAATTCTACATTTTAGTGCGAGCAACCTAATTATAGAGCGAATGTGAAAATGAATATGAAATATGAAATGAATATGTCCTTTTATGGTTGTTACCTAAATGACATCCAAGAAATGGAAAACCCAGGAATTGCAGAATCTGGGAATTGAAGTAATTCCTTAGAATTTATTTTCCAAATGGTTACCATCTAAGGCTAAGTCATAATCACCTGCAGCAAAGCTTTCGATTAATATTTGTGTGAATCATGCTCTCTGCTTAACGTTGCGTAAATGAAATGTCTTTCGATAGAAATTTGTTCAATGAGGATATTAAAATGTGGCATAAGGAACAGTGTCAAGCGCGGGTCAGTTTCAGTCGCTGCATGATAATCTCGTGACTCGGTCAGTAAAAATCAGTAAAATCTCAAATGAGTAAAAGCATCCTCATGAACACCCTCATGGCATGACCATTATCAATACATCCACACTGTACCCTATCCTATGATGGGCTTAAAAAACTAATTCACTGACTGCCTATATGTAAAATGAAATGCAATTTATCAGTCTTTCTACATTCACGATAAATTGTGATAGCAAAATTACAATTTTCTCATTCTAAAATGTGTTTTTTAACTGTGATTTGTAATGCGTTCACCAATTAACATTTATTATGCATAATTTACCGTAAAAATCCGTAGCATTGTGGCGCCTTTGGCGAATTCTCGCTCACACCGTATTATTGGTATAGCGATATTGGTGGGTTTTCACGTATTGTTTTCATAGTGATTTGCGTGGGGGTCAACCTTCATTGCTTCGACCCTTATGCTGAACAGGGGTGAGGAAATGATATACTAAATTGCGTATAGTTGCTACGAAACACAAAGGCAACACATACAGTGAACAATTAACTCACTCTGTGTTTCGATTTCGAGATGACCCCACTGGAATTATGACGTCACATGAAACCCAAGAATAGCAAGTCCTACTCACAAACACAATTGTGCATTGATAGATTGACCTTTAATAAATAGGGGTATAAATATCTATTCCTCAAAATTTTACCATGCTTACTTCTTT